AGCCTCAATGCTCTCCTCCTCTCTAGCAGATCCTTGGTGGCTTTCGAAATTCATTCCAAGTTCCTTGTTCAAGGCATTGAGGCACTTTTACCACAGGCTTTCATTCCTCTGAGAAGCAGATCGCAATCCTTCGTTGGGTCCTCATCGATGGGCCAGTCACAAGTGGTTAGAAACTCCTCCAGCTGACGCCGTCATATAGGACTTCTTTTCTTCCTCCAACACGGTGACAGATCTTCTTTTCCGCTTTCGCCTGAATCGCACTTTTGCAAGAAGGAGGCGGTTATCTGAACCACTGCTGAAGGATGGTACAACTGAGACGTCCAGTAAGCACCACCTTCGCTTGGTGGGAATGTGGTGGATCTCCGCATGAGTCGTACCGTTGGGTGCTTCCCACGTCCACCGCCGGTCGGTTGGTGAGAATGTGGTCGATCTCCGCACGAGTCCGTACCGTTGGGTGATTCCCACGTCCACCGCCGGTGTTCTTTCTTCATGAAGATGGAGTTGCCATGAAAAGTCGTGCGGACCGTTGGGTGATTCCCACGTCCACCGCCGGTTTTCTTTTTTCATGAAGATGGAGTTGCCATGAAAAAGTGGGGTGGTTCCCACGTCCACCGCCGGTCTTCATGAAGATGGAGTTGCCATGAAAAAGTCGTGCGGTGGATAAGAGCCCAACAAGACGGTTGCCGTTCATTCCGGAGTCCTGTTCCAAATCTCCCGATCCTATGCTCTCCTTCTTCTGACATCCCGATTGCGTTGAAGTCACCCACGAAGAATTTGTAGAAGGACTTCTCTTTGTGGATGACTTCCTCCAACTACTCATAAAAAGCATCAAGCTTCGAGTCATCAGCTGCTGACGTTGGAGAGTAACAGTTGGTGATGGTAATGGTTTTCTGATGCAGAGGATGGAGTCGATGGATAGCCAGGCAAGGTGATACGGTCTCATCTGAATCGACAAGATGGACAACAGATGGGTGTACGACAAATCCAACGCCTCCCACGTTCCGTGATGGAAGTTTCTCACCACGAATGATGAGTGTGCCATCACTCAGCAGCCTCACGTCCGTCTTCCTTGACTTTGTTTCCTGCAGGCGATTACGTGATATTTGATGCGCCGTGCAGCTTCGACAAGCGCGTGAAGAGCGGCGTTGGTGGAGACTGTCCTGGCGTTGTAAGGGCATAGCATGTGACAATCTCCATGGCGAGTCGTTGAAGTGTCCTTTTCGTCCGAAATCCATGGCGTCCTGTGAAACG